CACTAAAAGTTATTATATTTTTCTTTCTGTGGCCATGATATGACTAGTAACAGTTTTTTTCTGAGTAGATATATATGTTAAAACTAATGCAATCTGTACGACTTACTGGAAGCAGCACACTACTAAAGGTTGGCCAAGCTTTCTAGCAGAAAATTCATTACTTTCAGAATATAATTAGGTTCCTGAGGCTAAAATCCAGCTTGTAGGTCAATATTTGAATCCACCAGAAGGAATCTTTTATTTTTTGGTTCATTGTTCCTGAGAAAAGATGTTTTGAAAATGTTTGAGATGGATCAAGTGTGTAAAGTCATGGTGTCCAACAGTCATATAACTTATCCCTTTCCCAGGATGCTGTGTCCATACCTAATTGGGCAGCACATGTTCCCAAAACATCTATTTTCCCATCGTCTTCCAGCTACCAAATTATTCTTACTGTATTTTAGGAAACTTGGCAGCAGGAAGGGTACATGAGTGGGAAAATTGGTGGCTTTGTAAGTATAAAAGAAACAAGCAGGACTCTCTGTAACACTTGAAAGGCCAGAGAAAATTAAGAGAGAGGTCCCAGGACACTGGAGAAGCGCAAGAGAGCCAGTCAACCTAACTGCTGTCTTTGGGAAGATAATGGAACGAGTTATTAAGCAGTCAGTCGTTGAGCATCTAAGAAGACAATATGATAATAAAAAGCAGATAATGTGAATTTGTCAAGAACAAATCTTTTTCTGACACAGTGAGCAAGGGAGAAGCCACAGATGTGACAAACTTGGCTTTGATTGGGCCTTTAATCTAAGCCACCTGAGAGTGGGACAAGCTGAGTAGGGAATTATGGCCTACACTGAAGAGCAACTATGACTACTATACAAAGAAGTAATTAGGAATACTTCTCTTGCAAACTGGAAGTCAAATGGAGTTCCACAATGATCTGCCATGCACCGAGCTTTATTTCATATTTTCCTTATTACACTGACAATGAAACTGAGAAAGCACACTTTCAGAACGTGGGCTAATAACTAAGGTGGGAAAGATTGCAAGCAGTTTAGCAAACAAAAGCAGAACTCAAAATGATGATCTGAAAATTCTATAGAGACAGACGTAAAGTACTACAATGATGATCAAGAAAACAAATTCAAATACAAGGGGAAAAACTAGCCAGACAACAAAAACACAGGAAAAAAATCTGAAAGTTACAGTGGGTTGCAGTTAGACAGTAAGAGTGAGAGTGCAATGAGGTACAGTGGAAGAAAAAGGATGACAAACTTGGCACTATGAAGGTCTAAGACACAAGAAACAAGTATTTTGCTCTGTTCAGCAGCAGTGAAACACACAGCAGTTGGCAAACAATGTACAGATTAAACACCACATTTAGAGAAAACTGCAGATAGAGTGGAAAAAAAATCTAAACTTTAAAAACACATGATCAGTAGGAAAATACTAAGAGAACAAAATTTGTTTAGTATAGAATAATGTGAAAAGAGGAGAGGGCAAAGTTATAATCTTCAAGTTCTTCTGCACGTAAAAGATAAAAATGGAATATCTTTATACCCACCAAGGACAGAACAAGTAATCACTGGCATCACATGCACCACAGAATATATTAGGAAAAAAACTCAGTGAACTATAAAAATCATCATGTAATGGAATTACGTCAACAGATCATGCAGTTCCTGTCACTGAAGGCTTTTCAAAACAAATTGAATAAATTCACCATGAAACGTTTTGTTAGAGGTTGCTGTAAGATTCAACACCGCTTTAATGAATCAGTTAACTTGGGTGTCACCTCAGAAATAAAGGGAGGTGACACATCACACTCATAGTGACAGTCAACTACAGCAAAGTAAACGTTTTACCTAAGTGAACTCACAAAGCAGGACTTCTGCCGACGTGAATAAATTCAACATGGGAACTGAAAATTACAATTTTGCCTGGATTAAACAAAAGACCTGTAACG